TTTAGTTCATAGCACACTTATCTAGAGCCTTTTGAATATACAAACTTTTAAGCCCACCTCAGATATACTGAATTCAAATCCGCATGAGGAGACTGTCATCTCAGTTCATTGAGAACTCTCCAGCTCTATGTAATATTCATTCCCAGGTGAAACAGCCATCTGAATTATTAATTATTAATAAAGATATAAGACTTTAAAAATCTCTTTCAAAGATCCTAAAGTATGTGAGATATATTGAAAAAGAGATGATAGAAAGAAATGAAGTCAAAGGAAAGTGAAAGAAGACAGTTACTTTGTCTTTATGATGCCTAGGAAAGATTAAGGAGGTGGTCAACATTTTCACTTCTGCTCCTGTATAGCTCCATTTATACAATCAGTTGGTTTTAATTTTTCATTTAAAAATTAAGTTCTTTAACTTCATTTAATAAATAACTCCTTGGATTAAAATAGCATTTGTTTCTATAAATTAACATTCAGTTTGTCAAACAAATCACATTCATCCCTAGTATCTAAAAATCTCTTTAAACAGTGAGGCCTGTATGTTCTTATTACATCTGAGCTAAGAGAAGGCCCTGGAATATGTTGTTTATACATAGTAGAAAGAGACCTCCACTCAAACGGCTCCACCAGCTCATGGAAGAAAGTCAATAATGCAAAAAATGAATGTGTAGTGTGACACATCTTTAACAAGGCTTGTGAAGAGCCTTTCATGTACCAGCATTCCAGTGCTTTGGGTAATTTTCATTCACATGAGGCGACTGAGGCTCATAAGTAAATTTGAAAGTTCCACAGAAAATGTGTGGCAAAGGAAGGATTCAAACTGGAGCAGAGATAAGGGGAAAAGTTTACTTAATCCAGGCCAAGCCGTTGTTCCTCCACATCAGGTCCATGGTTGTGACCAATAAACTATTCAACAGGCAGTTTACTAATGTGGGAACCTGTTTCCATTTCTCCTTTCTTGTGTATGGTCTATATGATGACAGCTGTTTCTGCTTCAATCCACTTGGCTATTAGAAAGTTTCCCCTTCTACAGTCTTTCAGCATTCATGTTGATTCATTGAGATCAAACATTTCGTTCATTTGGACAGGTTTGGGGAAGGTGCATAAAATGAAATTTTGATTTCTATCAGCAAATTTCAGTGTTTTCAGTTGCTTTTTCTTGAGAGAAAAGTAAAAGAATGCCAACTGTTTAGGAAGTGATGCTTCCCTCCACTCTGGGGTCTTACAAATGAGAGAGATGATGGGGAAATGAAGCTTTTGTGGGAATGAAACTCATATTTGTCCATTTCTGAGGCTCACTCGGGATCAATGCTCTCTTCCCTGGGGAAGTTGGAGAGTTTTAGCCACACAACGTTTTCAACATGGAAATATGTGACCTAAGACTTAACACTTCATCCCAGCATTTTTACTCCTATTTCAGTATAATTGCTGAGCCCTTTTTCAATAGCTGCATGGAAAAGAGACTTGCCAAGTGGCTAGAGGGAGAATTTTGACCTGTCTGGTCTGAGAAGAGCTGAAGTGAGATCCCAGTAGCCTTCCCTTTCTTCTCAGCTAATGTTGGAGTCGAAAGTGCCAAGTTTCACCCCCTGCAACTCGATTTGTCACATGCACTGGAGAAGGTAAAATCTACCCTTCTTGGTATGGAGCCTCAGCTCCCAAGAGATCATCTCAGCACATCCTAAAAATTGCTCTGATACTTTTTAGTGTGGTGGAGCTTCTACAAAGTGTGCCTTGGCTGTCTTAGGAGTAGAAAGCAAAAATAAGGGTCTGAGTTCAAATCTCCAGAACCCATGTAAAAAGCTAAATGTGGTGCTATGCACCTCTAATCTCAGCACTGGGAGGCAGAGACAGGAGGACCCCACTGACTTGCTGGCCAGTTATTCTAGCCAATCAATGAATTTAAGACACCCTGTGTCAGAAAATAAGGTGGAACTTGATAGAAGAAAACAGGATAAAGAATAAAGGAATATACAAAATGTCAACCTCTACACATGGGCATGCACTGGTGAGCATACACACACACACACACACACACACACACACACACACACCAAGCAAAGTAAGGAGCCTCTGAAACACTAACTTCAGTGAATCCTATATTTTTCTCTGAACTATGCACTGAGGACTATACGCTTAGTGTCATCTAGACCACTAGAGTTCAGTTAGTCAAAAAAGTAGCTAAATTGGAGCATAACTTTAAAACTGCCCATAAATATGTCAACATATTTCATTTTAACTTTAAATATAAAGATATATTCATTTACCCGTTTATTTAAAACGTAGGACCAAAAAATGGAATTCTTGGTCAGTAGTTCCCTCTTAAAATTGTCTCATGAGAGAAAGCATATAGTCCCTGGTTTCAATTTCTTTAAAATAGAGCAATGCTTAAAGACATGCAAAGTAATTAATCCAAGCTAAAAATCCTCTTAATAGACTGAGAGTGAGCCTGGAAAGACAGCTCTAAGGTTAAGAGCACTGGCTTCTCTTGCGGAGGGCCTGGGTTCAAATTCCAGCACTCACATGGCAGCTAACTACCTACCATAACTCCCATTCCAGGGGATCTGACGCCCTCTTCTGACCTCTACAGGCATTGCATGACGTGGGCTCACTTACATACATGCAGGCAATACACTCACACTCATAAAATAAAAATAATCTATTAAAAAAAGATCAGGAATGGTGTTTCTGTGGGTAAAGGTGCCTGCTGCTAAGACTGACTCCTGGCCCAGGCCTAACATGGTGGAATTCGATAATCAATTCCCTCAACTTGTGTTCTGACCACCGTATGTATGCCTTGGCATTTGTATATCCACCCCTTCCCCCATACACACATAAACGCAAAATATAAAATAAAATATTATTAATCCTTTGAAAGCTACTGTTTGTATTCTTTTAGTATCTCAACAACTTCTGATTTGTAAAATTTAGTGATTTGATTTAATGGATACAAGATAGATATTTAAATTAGGCTTATGGAAATGTTCCTTTCTTACTAATATTTACATTAAACATTAAGCGTATATATAGATATGTATACATTGTGTGTGTACATTGCACACTCTAGGAAAATACTACTACTGAGCTGCACCTCCAGTGACTCCACAAGATATTACAAGTATTGGCATTACAATAGCAGAACTGGCAGAAAAGGATTTGATACCAAATACTAGTTTGTGGAAAATAATTCTGTTGGCAGAGGCAGTGGAACAAATTTAGAGCAACACTGCTAGATGCTGAACATCAGTATATTTTAAATGAGAGAGAGAACCCTACTTGAATTCTTAGAATGGTTAAAGGAGAAGCAGTTGGGAAAACTGGTACTTATTAAGTTTGAAAAGGGCAAAGCTTTTCCATATTTTATCATATATATTGAGAAAATAAGCACTGCTGTAATTATTTTAGTGCTTCTCTCCTACTTTGAACTACAGATTCATGCTTTATTGCCATCAATAGCCAGGATTATTTCTTTGTGTAGCAACCATGCATATAACCTATGATTATTAGAAGTGATCCTTTATGTGTTAATGTATATGAGCAAAATTGAGGTGCTTATCCAGATGCAGACTTACATGGATTCTTCTCAGATAACTGATTCAATTTTGAAGCTGGTATTGCATTTTCATTTTCAACCAACTCTCACTTGCATGGCTGAGATTCAACAATATTATTGGTTATAAGAATTGTGAGTTTGGTTTTTTGTTGTTGTTGGTGTTGGTTTTTGTTTTTAGTTTTTGGTTTTTAGATAGGTTTCGCTGTAGCCCAGCTGTTCTGGAACTCTCTATGTAAACCAGGTTGGCCTCAATCTCACAGAGATCCATCTACAGCTACCTGTGAGAGCTGAAGAACTGTGTTTAATATCGCTTATCTGAATGTTGGTGTGAAGTGCTATATAGTATTTTCCCTCTCTCCCTCCCTCCCTCCTTCCCTCCCTCCCTCCCTTTTTTCTTTCTTCCTTCCTCCCTCCCTCTCTTTCTTTCTTTCTTTTCTTTCTTTTTATTTCTTCTTTCTTTCCTTTTTCTTTTTCTTTTCAACATCCATGAAAATGTGTGCAGTGTTAGTGTATGCCAGATCTCCATTGACATTTGAGAATTCATAAATACAACATAGATTATATTGTCATTCAGTACAAATATGTCACTAAGACAAATATATAGGTAAAGAATTAAATTCATCATCAAGTATTGCTAAGGAGTACTTTCTGAGAAACTGTGAGTACCCCAAATCTAGAATATCAGAAGTTTGGGGGGTCCTTATTTACCTGCGATTATCATCTTCAACACTTGGAATTGGCTTTTGGGGGGTACCATTTCTTTGCTTCTCACAAAGAAACTGTTTGCTATTTGAACACTTGCCAAGGATAACTGGGGTTGCTCTATAGAAAATAACAGAAAATAATAAAGCCATACTGAGATTCAGACACAACGCAGTAGCTTAACTCACCACTTCCTACTAGTTCCCTTCCTGCCTCAAAACCCAGGTCCATGCCAATGAAGAAATCTAAGTAATGATAGCCACGAATTTCTAGGTTTGATTACTAGGATCAGAAATGAGACCCTTGAAGAAGTTTAATCATCTGCAAAGCTGTAGGAGCACAACGGGACTCCTGAATAATGGAAAAAATAAACATGCTAGATAACACACTAATAGTACTCATTGGAAAATGTTCAAATTGTGTTTAAAATATTAACTGGCATTCACAAAACATTTTCAAAAGCAAACTTTGAATTGAGATTTGTTTTCTTGTTAAACCTACTAACTAGATTCATTTAACCCAAGAATATCTTGAAAAAACAGAGGCTTTAACATAATAAGAATTAGATACAAACCTCCATGGAGAGAAACATAAAAGAATGCTGGAATAAGTCATAATTGAAAAAATGTAAAAATAACAAACAACAGTGTCCTTAAAAGATAATTTGTCATTGTTATTTAGAAAAAAGATGTCGAACATGAGAAATTTCCCTCTGGAGTAATGACTGTGTGTCTGTCTTCTTTCCCAGGGTTTTGGAAATCCCTCTGGTGAATATTGGCTGGGGAATGAGTTTATTTTTGCCATCACCAGTCAGAGGCAGTACATGCTTAGGATCGAGCTGATGGACTGGGAAGGGAACCGAGCCTACTCACAGTATGACAGATTCCACATAGGAAATGAAAAGCAGAACTATAGGTAAGCGATGCTCGGTGCTGCACCTCCCCCTGTGATCTTGTGAGTGCAGAGTTTTAATGGAAAAGTGAAATGATGAAATCACCATCCACAATGAAAACTCATGTTGGTTTTCTAGGTGTATGATGAAGAGATACAGAAGAGCTTGTAATGACTTCTAGAAGCTTTAGTGTCAGTTCTCATAAATTGCTTTTTTATGTTGGCTCACTTCTAGGGAGCGGTGAACCAAGTGAAGCACAGATTGTTGTGTTGAAATTGCTACAAAGGTGTAGGCTTCAAACATCTAAGACTGAAACTAGAAAGTATGCAAACTCAGTAGCTCATAATAATCTCCTTCTAACAAAATATTTTCTAGTTCTATTTTAACGTTCTTGCACTTTTAAAAATTCACTTATGTAAGAGGAGGAAAATATTGTATTTTAATGATTTGCATATAAAAGGAGGTGGCATTGTCAAGAGGATTGTTTAATATAAAGGGTAAAATAAATTTAAATGATGAAGTCAATATATACAAAATGATATAAAAATAGACAAACTACAGAGTTCATTTAAATGTTTCTGGTAATTTCTTTCAACTAGAAGCTCATATTCTAGGAAAATGCAGATTATGACTAAGAAGATAATCTACTTACTACATTGCAGCTATATCCCAGGAACTTAGTGATTTGGTACTGGCTACTTTTAGCCAGCACCTTACAGACCTCATAGTCAAGTATTGATACTAAGTAGGTCATAAAAACCTGCCTGGTGTCCCTTGAGAACAGAATACTTTAGTTACGTTCATTTCAGTACCTGCTAATACAATACTCAGCACATAATAGAGTCTTAATTTATATGCCTTAATTTTCAACAGGTAAGTAGGAATTTCAATTATCTTTGAGTCTCAGTATTGAGACTATTGTCCATCTGTCTTGCAAGTATAATAGTATGCATCAAAGGGGTGAATGCCTCATGGTATTCTATCCATGGTGGCTCAGAATTCAACTTATTTCTATTTCTTATTTGTCTTTTTGAGACATAACAATTTTGGAAAGTAAGATCTCTGTCTTTTTCATGGCACAGCTCATTTTTTAGTGGATTACATATAGGATTGAATCTTTGGAGACTTAATAATTATTTTGTTAATAAGTAGTGATTATGTCACCATAGCCGAGGATGAGAATGGGCCAAGGAATTAGAGAGAGAGGTAGAGTGTCTCATGTGGTGAGCAAGAGGATACTTAAAGGCAACTCAAGAAACCAAAGGAAAGACATTTATAAAAAGCAAATGATGTGAGAAGAAATGTTTCTAAGGAGGTCAATATTATGAGAACTTTGTAACAAAAAAGAAACCACTGTAAAACTTCAGGGATACACTTCAGTATATGTTTTGACCTGAAACTTGAAACTATATGAAACTTGAATAATGTCAGACATCTTGACAATACACCTAACAAGTCTAGTCTTTTTCTCAGCTCCTGAAGAGTTTGCCTTGGTTGTTTTCCAGAATGTCACTCAATTCTCTACAGGTAGTTTTGTGTGTTTCTGTGTGTGTGTGTGTGTGTGTGTGTGTGTGTGTGTGTACATCCCAAACCATCTCATTAGACTATACACCCATCTCCCAGAGTGTGTGTGTGTAGTAGGATGATGTTAGGGGGCAAAGCTAGGGCAGGCTTAGTATAACTGGTATCTGCAAAACTTCTGTCTATCTGGTAGCATCATTCCTACATATACCTGAAGAAGGAGCCCGGGCCTCATCTTAGCAGCCCCACTGTCCTTATTGGATATTTCTCATCCCTATGACATCTGCTATTACTTTGTCCACATGTCTTTCCCTCCTATGTTATAGATGTACGGTCAGTAGGTATGTCTTCCCAGCTACAGTAAAGTGTACAATATAGGATCCCTATTTTTCTTTCATGAAAGATGTTTGAAACTTGCGACTCAATTAGAAAACTAAACAGACTAATTTAATTAGATACTTCTGGTTTTAGGTGAAAGAAAATTGAAATCCAGAAATATACACTGTTTTTCCCAATGAGCCTTTTGACTTGTATGTAGTCCTGTGTGATTTCTGTTACAATGCTGCTGTTTTTAAAGTGAGTGGTTCTGGCCCTCTCTCCTACCAGGACCTTACAAAAAGTAGATCTGCAATGATTACTTTTTCATACAGTTAAATATAGGATTTCTGTAGGCATCAAGTGGGAAATTAGAATGCACTAAAACTTAATATTTGCTCTGGTAGAAGATTAGAAAAAGAGTGTTTTGGTTTGAATGTGAAGTATCTCCCATATATTCATGTGTTTGGATACTTGTTTCAAAGCTGGTAGGTCTGTGTTGGAGGGTGGCAGAAATCTAACTGAAGGAAATGGATCAGTGCTGGGTTGGGCCAGGAACCCTTAAAACCTGACCCAGCTTTCTGTCCACTCTGTGTTTCTAGCTGTACATACAATGGGACCAACCACCTCCCATGTCTGCTGCCCCACCTTCCCCATCAAAATAAACCCTAGTCCTTCTTACATAATAAGCCAAAATGATTTCTTTGTTTAAGTTGTTTTCATCAGGGATATTGTCATAGAAATGAGAAAAGCAACCAATACAATGGAAGAAAAGTTTTAAATGAGAGACTCAACCCTTGGGGTTGTTTTCATTACTTGTGTCATCTCTGTTTCTCCAGGGTCAGTCAGGCACATGTGGCATCTGGGTACAATTCCAGTTGTCTGAATAAGCTCTTCATTCATTGATTTTCCATCTGAACTAAGTTACCTCTATGTGATAAATGAAGCTACCACCACTAAGATGTACACAGTGATTCACATTTAATGAAATTGCATCAGCTAATCTTTATAGTGACTTTTGAGGCAAGACACATTTTTAAAAAATGTATTATTTTTTATATGTATGAGTGTACTGCCTACATGTATGTAAGTGTACCCATGTTGTGCAATGCATGCGCGTGGAGGTCAGAAGAGGGCATCAGATTCCCTAGAACTGGAGTTACGATGGTTGTTAGCTGCCGTGTGGGTGCTGGGATTCGAACCCAGATCCTTTGCAAGAGCAGACAGTACTCTTAACCACTAAACCATCTCTCTATCCCCTAGCAAGATTCACTTTAAGGATGAGAAAAGTGTTGTTAGTATTCATTAATCTGCTCAAATTCAGGTGCATTCCAACTAAAATTCAAAACCTTGAAATTTTTCGCTTTAATATTTTACATTTTCCATGTTTTCTTATTCTAAATGAAATCCATCTTTCTCTTCAGTTTTGTCATTTAAAATATTCTCTTAGAAGTCCAAAGAGCTAATTTTTAAAAGAAAAACCTGTCTCGTGTTCCTGACATATACTGATTAAAAATTAAGAGCTGAGAATGCATAGACGAGCTTAGGATGTATGCACACTACACATATTTTCCTTTTAGCCTCTAAGGAAATTTCAAATGATTTTTCATATAGAAAATAAATTGCACAGAACCCAGGAGAACATGAATCAGAAAAAATAATAATGTAGGAGTGTCATGATAAACATATTATGTGAAGTAACACACAATCAATGAGAAATTATTAAACACCTCCTCTGGAGGGGGACGTTATCCACATCCTCATCAGCTCACACTCGGACTAGTATGCAGCCTTCTGGCCTCTAGTCTTGGTCCTCAGATATATTTCTCCCACACTACAGCTGGCATGATTTTTCTTGACGGTCAGATTTATTCTTCTCCTCTTTTGTAGATTTGAGCAATGTTCAAAAATGTAAAATTTTACAGCAAAAACCTTTAAGGTTTTGAATTTTAGTTAGAATCTAGGTGAATTTGAGCAGATTAATAGATTCTAACTTTCTCTTATTTTCAAAAATGTGTCCTGCTTCAAAACTCATTATGAAAGTTAACTGCCTAATGTGCAAATGCTAAAGTCTACCGCTAAGGTGCTCATGTTTTCGCCACGACTGACTTACTCAGCTATTGCTACCAACTTGATGAACTTCATACCCTCATAGATTGTGATGATGCTCCAGTGACTGTTCACAATTGTTCTGAAACCTTCGTGCCTTGTTTGTATTATACCTGTACCCTATACACACAAACCTAATTTTTATCACATGGATGCATCTTCAATCATTCAGATTCTCTCTTAATCCAGGATATCATATACCAAACCTTCTTTGATAAATGTTGTGATGTGCCAACAGTTGGCCCCCTTGAGATCTGAACTTCTCCTACCTCCCAGAAATGTTGGTGGCAGACAGCTTGCAGCTGAAATCCCCTGTCTAGGTGTTGCTTGTGGCCAAGAACCCAAAGTCATGCCCCCTTTCTACAAAGTATACCCAATGACTGGTCAACAGAGGAGTGTACAAGCCTGCCTGTGCCCATTCAGAACAATTCTGATGGGCTATCAAAGGTGTAGAATTCCACTTGTGATTAGTCAAGCTCTCCTCTCACTGTGGTTGTGTGAGGACTACTTCTCCTGCCTTCTGGCCTAACTCCTTCATTATGCCACAGAAATTAAGGACATTCGCCTCTAATGCATCCTATACTGATTTCCAAAGAAACATCAGCTCATTCTCAGGCCAATTTGGAGTCTGTGCTCCCATGGACACTATTGCTAACTCTCCAGTATTCACATTCTATCATGTCATTAACAAGTGCTTATTAACCAACCCCATCGTGCATTCTTTTTTTTCCCTCTGTGTTGCTCTCACTCTTGTTCTCTCTGTATTTTAAGAACAAATTTTGCAAGAACTGATAACTAATATTAAGTACACAGACACTATGTGCCAGATGTCATGTTTTTTCCACCAGAAAATGGAGATACAGCATTTAGCATAAAGTCACAGGCACTAATATGACTATGAGTTAGAATCTGAATTTTGGTCTTGTAACTACCTACTATACATATGGTAATTCCACAATAAAGGAAAACTAGGTAATTTTTGAATTAAATAAAATCAAAGCACTTAGCCTCTGACACCATATATATATATATACATATATATATATGTATATATGCTTTTGACTTTTTGGTTTTAATA